AACACCAATACCAATGCGACAAAAACAATACCAATGCGACAAAAATAATACCATTGCGACAAAATCAATACCAATGTGCTAAAAACAATACCATTGTGAAAAAATAGTACCAATGCTACAAAAACAATACCATTGCGACAATAATAATACCATTGCGACAAAATCAATACCAATACGATAAAAACAATACCATTGCGACAAAAATAATACCAATGTGACAAAATCAATACCAAAACAATACAAAAAAAAAAATACCAATCCCCCAATTATACATACCAATCTCCAAATTGCACAAGCAGGCGTTGCCGGAGAGAGAGGGTGGGGGAAGGCTGGCCTAGGTCGGAGCAGATTGCCGGCATCACCATCTAACCCCTCCACCGCCATCTGTGAGAGAGAGAGAGAGAGAGAGAGAGAGAGAGAGGTTGCCCGCAAAGGTGGGCAAGGGTAGCCGGAGGGAGGGTGGTTGTCGGCAGTGAGAGGGAATGATATGTATTGACGGCGATATAGAATATAGGGTTGAAGTAGGTTTAGGTATAATGTATAGAAATTATTTTTTTAAAGGATAGAAATCAGGTACAATATTTTTTTTATCCTCAAAATTACACTTAATTTAATCTTCACCGTCAATTTAAAATTAGAGTAAAATATAGATAATGAAGGGTCTAAATTTTAGTAGCCATGGTGATTAGTGATTACTCAATCCTAACGCGTCCCTTCATGTAAGTAATCCCTACGCACACTACAAGAGAACAGTAATGTACCGTCGGTTTTTTTCCTGCTTTACCGTCGGTTCTATATGCCAACGGTCAGATAACTCACATATTCCTTAGCAACTCTGTCCTTTCCCCTTTCTCTTTCTAGTTTTCAAACTCTCAGCCTTCTCACTTCAACTTTTTCAACATTCTCCATTTGGGTGCGTCTTCTTCCTTCCTTCCTTCTTTCCTTGTTTTTTTTTTTCTTTAATTTGCTGCAATCGACATGTTTTCCAGCCCACAATGGCTTCTTTTCATTTCTCTAAGTGGAACTCTCCACAAACCTTTTTTGGAGGAGAAATTTTACAATGCTATATAGCATTGGTGTTATAGGTTTTTGCTTTTATGGTACAACTTCAAGTTCTACCTTTAATGTTATGGTATAACTTCAGCTTGTACCTATACTATTTTACAAATTCTTTTATGGTACAGCTTGAACTTGTACTTTTATGTGATGGTACAACTTAAAGTTGTGAAGTTGTACCATAACATAAGAGTACAAATTCATTTATGGTACAACCCAAACTTATACATTTTACATTATGGTACAACTTGAACTTGTACTTTTATGTGATGGTACAACTTAAAGTTGTGAAGTTGTACCATAACATAAGAGTACAAATTCATTTATGGTACAACCCAAACTTATACATTTTACATTATGGTACAACTTTAAGTTGTACATTAAAGCATCCATGCTTTATAGCATAGTAGAAGTGCTCCTCTTTGGAGATGGTTTCTTTTGACAGATCTGATTTGTTGTGCTACAAATCTCCGATTTGGGTGTGGTGGTGTGGTTTCAGAGTGAGCTAAGGGAATCTTTCTCTTTGGTTTGCTTTCTTTCTTCAAGTATCAGGTGGTCCTCCTCCTTGCTTTACCCGAACGGCGTGGTGATTCGGTTGAGATTTGTCTTCTTTGTGAGACTTTGATTTTTCTTCCTTGTGGTTTGAGAGCAGGGTTGTGAGGTCTCTGGTTAGGAGTTTGGCTGCTTGGAATGTTCTGCTAGTGTTGGTCTTCTGGTGTCCATGAGTGTTCTTTTTCCCCTTGTGAGTGTGTTCAACTTTCTGGTGGTTCCTCTTGCCGTCTCTTCATTTGATCCTCCGGCGGCCTGCATGCGTGTCCGGCGGTGGTCAGATTTCTGGCGTGACGTCTTCCTCTCCGATGTTCTTCAGGAGCGGCTCTTTGTTTGTGCGGCAGGATGGCGCTGTTGGGCTGATGGTTTTTTCCAGCTTTTGGGCTTTTTGGGTGGATCTTTACTTTTGACTCACTGTATTTCCTTGGGTTTGGCCCTTTATCTGTAACTTGTCATTGGTTTATAAATTTATAATGAACTAATGCTTTTGTAAAATATATATGCCAACGGTCAACCAAAACCGTCAACGGAAAATTTAGTGTCGAATACATACCGACGGTAAAAAACTTCATCCGCCAGCAAACTCGTAAGCTGGGTCGCCATATTAATTGACGGCTCAAGATAGGGTGCATAACCATGGGTTATGCATCCATCAATAACAAAATCTAGACCCTTTATTTAGAAAATCCAGATCTAAGGATGGAGAATTAAAGATCATTTTTATTTTCTTTAGTTTTCTTAATGGACTCATATCTTTTTCGTTTTAACTCGGATTTTAATTTTTTTTTGCACAGTTAGAACGAGTTCATCGTGCTCTACAAATTGAGATCAATTTTCAATATTTTTTTATAACAAAAAATTCTGGCCTCTCGGTACCAACTGCATACCATATGGTATTTTCTTCATTTTTAATTCGTTTTTGAAAACGTTTGCACAGAAGGGACGAGTTCATCATGATCTATTGGATCTACAAATTTCTGGGTGAACAAATTACAGGACCAAAAAATAGGGTGGTATTGTATAGTATCTTCTTCGTTTTTAATTCGTTTTTGAAAACGTTTGCACAGAAGAGACGAGTTCATCATGATCTATTGGATCTACAAATTTATGGGTGAACAAATTACAGGACCAAAAAATACCACACAATACCATACATTATACAATACCACCCTGGTACGGGGTGGTATCTTGTGGTATACAATGTTAAAGTCGTACATGACAATTAATATATTTTTACTATCATGTATTCAATCATCCTACAGTCTTGGTTTGTTCATACCACCATGGTACTTTTTTCAAACCATATGTATGCTTTTATTTCAATACCAGTCAATACAATATGGTATAGACTGGTAAAATATGGCTCAATTTTTTTTTGTTCGAAAAATATATTAAAGTGTATATCATTTTGAACAGCACAATTAATCTGATCTAACTAAGCAAAAAAAATTAAATTTTGACTTAAAATTTGTGAGAAATCGTCCGTCAAAGATTAAAGAGGGGAAAATTAAAGGCTTTCCAGGAGAGAGAGGATGTTGATGTCATGCTGATGTGGACGGGTTACTCATGGTTACTCACCACAAGGTTACTCACCGGATCAGCTTCCTTAATCCACAATAAAAGAAGCAGCCACGAGATGTTTAATCTTTAGTAACCAATAGGAATTAGGAACCGACCTTTTGCAACAAAACTGCTGCAGGTAAACTTCTAAAATTTCCACTATTACTTAGCTATCTATCATACTATAATCCTCGATCCAAACACTTAGCTATCTATCATACTTCACTCCTTATTTTGGTCAGTTTGGTTGCAGAGGAATCAACGAATTTTTAACGACTCTCACTCGTCAGTCATTGTTATTGTGCGGAAGTCGGTCAAAAATGTCATTTACTGGCTAACAGCCCATAAGAAGATCGACAAGGAACAAGCTGCTATTTGGCTTGCTAACTTTCTTTCTTGATCTGATCTTTGATGTTGGTATGCCGTGTGATCTTTTACAGTGATGGTTCTGCAGTCCGTATTGCTAGAGCTGTTGATTTTTGTTTTTTGTTATCCCTTTTTGAAGAGCACCAGGGATGGTTTTTTAGTCCGTCTAGCTTTTCGTTTTATGTTTCCTTTCTTTCCAGTAGTGTGCTGGATTGTCTTGTCTTTGGAAAGGGAACCGGTTCAGTTCTCCTGAACCCCTGTTTCTCCTTTTCTTTCCTTTGTACTTAGTACTTTTTCTTTCTTCTTTCTTCAATAAAATCACCATTATCAAAAAAATAATTCCCAATCACAATTCATTCATAAAAAACAACTTCTACTCAAACTCTCATTAACTCTTAATAACATTCATCTTGTCAACCCAAAGTAAAGCTTGGGTCACAATACATTGCACAAATCAGAGATCAAGTTGCACCAAGTAGAAAAGAATCAAAGTAAAATACAGTTCGTTTTACACCTCGAACTAATTTGACGTATTTGTTTGGTTTCTTCAGCTGTTGCCAGTGTTGATTCCTTGCCAAAAAAAAATTGCCATCGATGAAGCCTGAGCTCCCCCGTTTCTCTCCACCCTCTCTCTGATCTCTTCTGAGTTGGACCGGCCCGGCCGTCCGGTTTGGAATGAGTTGGCATCGCCGGCAAAATTTAAAAAGGTAAAAGTAAGAAAGAGTTTCCTGCATGCACCGGTAACTCTTGGAAAACGGCATCAATATTGCATATGCCGAAAACGACAACATCTCCCGTCACAGCATAAGAAGCAAAAGCAGCACCGGCCTTTCGAATGCTTCAATTAATCTTTGACTCTTCATCAGATCAAGCACTATAAAAAGAGGAATTGGCATTGATCGATAACGAAAAATACACACTCAGACAGTTATGGTTATCAACAAAGCATTGCTAACGGCGGTAGCACTGTCGACCACAGTGATCATTATGGCACGTCCTACGGTCCAGGTATCGGTTTACATTACCAATCAAGTGACCAGAAAAATATTGATTGTGCATTGTCGATCCAAAGACGACGACCTTGGAGCACACACGGTAGCCGTTGGGTCTAGCATCCACTGGAGCTTCGGGCAGAATTTCTTTGGCGCCATGACAGTTTTTTGGTGCAAACTCGCGGTTCAGGACAAGCGTATTTCTTTCGTGGCGTACGAGCAAGGCCGCGTAACATACGGAGACTGGGTTGTTCGTGACGATGGAGTTTATGCGAGGCCCTATGGTCGTCCGATGTTTCTGCATGCTCCATGGACGCGACCATAATATAAGCCGCATGGATTTCTCGTCAGGAGAGTGCCTCTACAAGGTGGCAATATTGTATCCACAAGTTTTGTAGTGGTATGATATAATATATGCAATTTTAGCTTTAATTTTGTAACGGTTTGAGTTTCCGAGACCAATTAATTCATAATATAGTATCGAAGTCGTATTTACTGAGAAATGTTTTGTTCAAATGCTCTTTCGTAAACGAACCCTAAAGCCATATGCCCAAATGGCCTAATGCTTGTGAAAATGCTGACATAGACCGGATATGAGGTAGGTATTCCGAAGAAGAAAAAAGAAAAGGTCATCTGATCCCTTCCCAAAAATCTTCTACCAAATTTGTCAAGTAACAAAACCTAAACTCCTTCATTTAAGCAACATTTTCATGTATAGAATATACCCACCACTACAACAAAACAGTGATTTAGCGACGGTCAAACGGACTTTTAGCGACGGTCAAAACCGTCGCTAAAATATTTAATGACGGACAGCCAACCGTCGCTGACCCCGCCGTCCTTAAATTTTATAGCGACGGTTTTGGTCGACCGTCGCGCTGACCGTCGCTAAAGTTTAACGACGGTGGTGACCGACGTAATTTTCCCGACAACCGTCGTCAAATAAATATCCCAGCAACAGTTAAAATTATTTAGCGACAGAGTACGACCGTCGCTAAAAGCTACCGACCGTCGCTAAAAGCTACCGTATTTTAAGGAACCACCTTCCCAAACAATAACAGCCCTAGCCTGCTGTGATTTAACATTACTCTAATGATCACAAATCATTTTCTAAACATCAAATCAGCAACACACTACTCTAATAATCACAAATCAAGAATTGTAAATCCATTCATAACCCTTTGAATTGTAAATCAAACCATCAATCCTTACAAAAGTACCATCAAATCTCTCAAATCCAGAATTGTAAATCAATCAAACCACTTACAAAAGTTCAAAGCCTACAATCTAAAGTTGAATACTATTTCAAACTAAAAACTGAGTTTACCACTGAAGCCCTTCATTAACTTGCAGCCCTGTAAATCAACAAAACAACAACAAAGATCCAGTCACAAATCCATAATTACAGATCATTTCAAACTTGCAACTTCTGCATCACCCGAGCTTAAAATAATATTAAATTGTTTGGTTATCTAATTATCTTCTCCTTTTGGATCTCCTCCCTCTAATGAATGATGACGATTACGTGTTTTACTTCCCTTAAACAAAACCAAATCCCACCATCCGAATTTGAGTCCCTCCCTCCTTCAATTCATTCATTCATTCCTTCTCTCTCTCTCTCTCTCTCTCTCTCTCTCTCTCTCTCTCTCTCTGCTAGCTCTCACCCCTGCAATCTCTAACTGTTCCATAGCATTGTTCATTCCCAGCTCCCACCAATACTACAAACTGCGTTTCTGCATCACCCTTTTCTACCCCTTTATTCCTAGCACAACTTAAGGACTAGGATCTCATAAAAGAAACAACCGAAAGTTTGGTTCAAATAAGCGAAATCCAGGAACTAGATGCTAACCTTTCATGACAGGAGGTCTGTTGAATGAAGAACAAAATCCTGAAACACCAGAAAGAGAAAAAGAACATGAGATTAGTCTTCACCGATCATTTTGCCTAGGTTGGAGTGGTATTGAAACTGAAGCTATTCGGATGGCTAGAGAAGCTGAGCTTGCTTTCGTAATGCACTCATTTAAGAAGAAAAAAGCCTCTTTTTCCCTCCATTTCTCGATTCAAGTAGTACCTGTTAAGGAGTTCTATCCCTGCTGTCTCGGACCGCTAGTCGAAGAGTGGCCAGAATGCTGACCAGTGGAGTCAAGAGGATGCTGAAAAGTGAAAATATACAACAACAAAAAAAAAACCAGTTAAAAGGCATAAACTCGCAATTTCCTCTGAAAGTTCTTACATTCAAAATAACAACTTACTTGTTCTACTAACGTAGCCAGCTCCAATGGCATAGGGACATTCATGTGCTGAAAAATCTTGACAAACCACTCTTCATACTTCTCATTCTTCTTCAAGCTTTATAATGAAGTTGAATGGACCATTAGTTTAGATCTTGCCTCTGCCTATATTATCTATCAAAGCATAAGCACCAGCAGTTGCTGCCTTTTTCCTTTCCGTGTTCATAAAAACATGAAAACAAACTCTGCCTATATTATTTATCAAAGCATAAGCACCAGCAGCTGCTGACTTTTTCCTTTCCGTGTTCATAAAAACATGAAAACAAACATCATCACCAGAAAATTAGAAGGGAAAATGTTCTTACACAAACATCTCTGGTCTTGGGATTCAAATATGATCCATCTGGCCTTTTGTGAGTCTCAACGAAAACTTGTCCTCTTGAAACCTCCTGCCCAGTTGACTCACTCTATATAATCCAACCAGAAAAATGTAAGCACCTTAAATATTTTGATTCTTTAGCAAAATGAAAGAAACATCTATGAACATACCATCTCAGTAGTTTTCCTAGCAATGGACTTCGAGCCTCCTGTGTGATTAAGCTGATATTCACCCCTATTTCTTGTATTCCTTATTGACATATCCTTCAATAAAAAATACAGAATACTGATTAACCTCCTATCATGGAAAATAAATCCAAAAATCCAACTTGTAGGAAATAAAACAACCACACAACACCTGAGTGGTCTTTCGTTGGCGATAGTCGATGAAACTAGCCCATTGTTCTTTGGGAATCCCTTCAGGAGGTTTGTTGATATTTTGCTCTCTTGTCCATATACGCTTGTACTTGTGTTTGTAAAGTTCATACCTATGCCCCTTCCATTTGCTGCCTAAGCTACTCAAAATGTACTTGTATGCCCTATCTCTGTGTCTAGGCTCAACAAAAACTTTTTCCTACAAACATCAAAGATTTAGTACTTAAATATCCAGACCCACAAGTAGAAAACAGCTCATAATTAAATCAAAGAATTACAAAAAACAATACTTACAGCAATTATACCATGGAGGACTTCATTCTTATAGCTAGAAGGAACATCAAGCCAACTATCAAAGCTTATAGGAAAATAGTTGACGTCCCTAGCTAAGAGTCCCAAAAATTGTCCAAGTAGTCCACCACCATCATGAACAGGCTGGTTCCTTACAAATGGCACCACAAACTTGGTGCCCTGTGGGAGATACCACACATCCTGTGCATGTAGATGTGCCATGGACCTCTGTCCCTCAGAATCTGAGAAGCAACGGAAAATATAAACAAGCTGCAGTAAGCCAACAAACAGTGAATAATATTTAATAACAAACAACTCGACTTAACTTGAAACAGTTGGGTAAAATGTAAAAGTAAGTATTCCATAAAACCACAATATCATATAAGTCCAGAATCAAATATCTTTGCAGCTTTAGAATCAAGAAAAGGTTCTAATTCATCTTACCTATCACCTGAACTTTCCAATATGGTCTATGACTATGAGTAGCTTTATCGGTAGTTGTCATTCCTGAAAATCAAGAATATAACCATGTAATATTCATTAGACATCGTCACATAAACTCCCTCCCCGAAAGCAATATCACATACAAGGTTTTTGTTCTGCACCTTATTATTCTCCACTACTACTGTGCTGTGCATGTCCATTACCCAGCTACAGTAATATATATGTGCTTCCTCCAACAACCTAACATTAGCTAGGGAGTCAAACAACACGCGCTTATAGGTTGTTTTGGAACTCGATTTTGACCGAGTCAGACTCCCAGTCAGTAAAATCAAAATTGTTCAGCCTTTTCAAAGTTATAAAGCCAAATTTATAAAGCCAAATTAGTCAGTATTATACTATACGGCACTTGCCAACAAGCTCGTAAGGCAGTATTATACGGCACTTGCTTAGAAAATGGTAACGTTACCTTTTTCTTGCTAGGAGGACAAAGGAAGGGAGTGAGTACAAAAATAACAGTGGATGGGAGTGGGGAGAGAAGCGGAAAGTGAGGTGTCATAAGGGCACATGCAAAATTACAGTTGGCCCCGGCTCTGCCTGAGAATCAGGAAGGCCACATGTAAATGTGGGAATCCTCCTCTTTGGAGCTATTGAATATTGCATTCCCCTAATGCAGCGCATCAATGTTCTCAACATTTTGAACATCTATACAAAAAACAAAACAACAGATTTGAAGATTTCACAGATTCTATTCATAGACGAAGCTCAGAGGATCGCAAAGACAAAAATCATTACTATTTAGAGCTGGTAATCGACAGATAACCGGTTTAACCCGTAACTAACTAACCAATTAACGATTAACCGAAACATACCAAGTGACTGCTGGCTATCGATACCGGGTGACATCTTATTAACCACGGTTACCAGCTCGGTTGTCGGATTGACTGTTTACTGGTAAACCCGTTTACCATCCCTATTCCTATCACTTCTGTTAGTGATTATTGGAGCTCACTAAAGGAGTTCAATGTCAAACCAAACCAATAAGAGAAGTATAATATTACAGCTTCTTCACGATTTTATAAACTTTGAATCAATCCCAAAGTCCAAGTTCAAAAGACCAAAGAATGACCGCTGTTATGTCTAAGCAGTCTTTTACTTACACCAGGTTGAAAGTATTAGAACAAAAGAATCAGAGTTTTACTGACTGGGAGTCTGACTCGGTGTATATGTATGGACAAAAACCAGGGTAAGTGTACAAACACGCAACCAATTAAGAAAAAGGCCAAACCAGATGAATCCATCCCCCCAAGGCTACTCTCTTTTCTGCCTCCTCACTTAATTACGCCCAAAAATCCACCACTCGAAATCGATCCCCGCCCCGCCATTTGAGAAAGCTAATGGTCCTTGCCTTAAACAGCTGTTAATTAAGTGAGCCCAAGACAAAAAAATGGAACATAAACCTAGATTGTCCTGAACCTAAACCTATATTTCTCCGATTTCACTAACCAACATTGATACCAACACCCAGGACACAAATTCTATTCACTTTTGCCATGGATATATAGTTATGTTGCTGAGATAAGCGAAGCTAAGGCAGATATGCTGGTTTCTCAGGCAAACAAGAACATAGATATGCGAAGCTAAGGCAGATATGGGAAGCTAAGGCAGATCTGTAACCTAACTAGAATGAGCTCGCTAGCGCAAGTGAGGAAATCAGAGAGCGAGCCATCGAGAGAGAGAGAGCGAGGGAGACTAGAAGATTCACCTTTCAACTGGAGCGAGCGAGCGATATCGAACAATCGCCTGTCAATAACGGAGCGAGCGAGGAAGATCGGACAACTGACACCGGAGTGAGCGACGGAGGATCGGAGAAATGACACCGGAGTGAGAGAGGGAGATCGGAGAACTGGCGGCCGGAGTGAGTGAGGGAAGTCGGAGAACTGGCGGCCAGAGTGAGCGAGCGAGATCGCGAATCGCGAATCGCGATTTCAGCCAGAGAGAGGAATCGCGATTTCAGTCGGGATGAGTGAGGGAGATCTGAATCGTTTTTTATTATAGGAAATCATAACTCTAAAAACAAATGTAAAAAAGAAAAATACAAAGGAAAGAAGGAGTCACGTGTTCTGATCAAGAGGAATCATAAAAAAAAAAATCAAATATGGAAAAGAGAGACACGTCTCTCATAGTCTCCATGTGCCATTTACTTTATTTTTATTTTTTTACCTCACCATTTACTTTATCGTGACTTGCAATTAATTAATATTTTAAATGGACAAATCCAATTCCCGACGGTCACAAACAACGGCCAACTTGTCCGTCCAATCTCCTCACTTATCGACGGTCCTAGTGGCTGTCATTAAGTGAATGTCGGTAAAATAGCTTTTTGTTGTAGTGCACACACCAACTATGATCATGACCAAGCAGCAGGCGGTTAGCCGCAACTACAAATAACTAGCGGCCGTAGCTCTGACGACCATGTTAATAATTATGGCTCGACCTTCGATCCAGATGACGATTAATGTGACGACGATCTTACTTTTTTTAACAAGAACATAAAGGAAATATGAGCCAGGTGCACTGGAACATCCCGATAGTAGGGATGGAAAACATATCACAATTATTCATTCTAACTGGAAACCGGATCGTATAACCCGATCCGATTGCAACCGAAACCAAATCTGAATATATTTTGGTATGGATGTCTACCATCGGGATGTCATGTCATCACTGACTTCTGGGTCCTCTGGTGCTTCCACTGCCTTCACTTCCTTCCGCAACATCTCTAATATTGTCTACATATTCACAAAATATTATACTCAGATATCCATTAATTCCAATAATTATTCTACATATTTACTGTATATTAGAATTAAAGTGAATTATTCTTCAATTTATGTAATTAATATACATAATTTTATACTTAAAATACATTATCCACTAATCTAAGTACTTAAAATATACACATTTACACAAATGTAAACATAAATTTCAGTTGTACACCAACTTACGTAATTAATATACACATATACTCATATGTATAATTAAATTTAATTACCCACTATCTACTTACGTACTTAATCTGCACAATTAGATTAGACAATATTTTAAGATGAACCATGAGCTCCTCCGTTTCTCTCCACCACCTGCTGATCTCTTCTGACTTGGACAAGCCAGCCGTCCGGTTTGGAATGATTTGGCATCGCCGGCGAAATTATAAAGGTAAAACTATGAAAGAGTTTCCTGCACCGGTAACTCTTTTCTCATGGAAAACGGCATCACCATATGCCGAAAATTGACATCTCCCGTCACAGAATAACAAGCAAATGCAGCAGAGGACTTTCGAATGCTTCAATTCAGATCAAGCACTATAAAAAGGAATTGGCATTGATCGATCACGAAAAATATAGCTATAATCAGTAAGTAAGAGAATCAGATTTGCTGATTGCAATGGTTTTCAACAATGCATTGGTAACGGCTGTAGCATTGGCGACCACAATGATCATTATGGCACATCCTTCGGTCCAGGTAACGGTTAACATTACCAATCACTTAACCGAAAAAATATTGATTGTGCATTGTCGATCCAAAGACGACGACCTCGGAGCCCATGCGGTAGCCGTTGGGGCAAGCTTCCACTGGAGCTTCGGGCTCGAATTCTTTGGCGGGACACGTTTTTCGTGCAAGCTCGCAGTCGAAGATAAGCATATTTCTTTCGTGGCGTACGAGCAAGGTGTCGACGCCGTGGGAGACTGGTTTGTTCTTGACGATGGAGTTCACGGGAATGGTAGTCCGTACTTTCTGAAGGTTGCATGGAGGCGACCAGCGCATGCATGGATTTATATCCAGAGGACTAGTAATGGAATGATATAAGATGCAGTTTGTAGCTTTCATTTTGTAATAGTTTTAGTTATCGGGACCAATAAATTCATAATATATTAGCGCGGTCTTATTTATCGGGAATTTTTTTGTTCAAAATGCTCTTTCCAAAATACACCCTAAAGCAATACTTCGCCCATATATATACTAGCACAGGACCCGGCCCATTGGCCGGGAGAATTTTGTCTCCTTGGTGACCCTACCATGCAGTATCGGCACACCGAGATAGCGGCCCAGGTCCTGGGTGATCAGGATACCAGCCGCTCGAGCTATGGATCTACTCGCCTGCTTCGAGACATTCTTGGAGAAGAACATCACTAATTTTTCCTTGCTCACTTGCTACCCCGATGCAAGACAAAAACTATCCAGGCAATCCATGATGACCTGGCTCTATGACGTACTCGCTTCTGCAAACAGAATCAAATCATCAACAAAGAAGTTTTTTTACACCTATATTGTTCTCTCGCTTGTGAGTTACTAGCAAATCTCCTGGATCGTGCGTTACGGTTCATCCTATACTACATAGCGTTGAAAACATATCATTTGATCGGGAGGAGTTAGAGTGGTAACCCCATAGGGGGTTAGCACCGTACTAATCATTGTAATCATCGTTCATTTGTTTTAAGTAAATCTGACGGTGGAGATGATTGAGGGGTATATTTGGTGTTTTCTGAAATTAAATTTAATTATTTAATTAATTTTTTGAATTTTTTCTTCTCTCTTACGAAGATTTTTTTTAACGTGAAAAGTACTGCTAGAGCCTTACAGTAGTGTTTTTTGTATAAGCATCGTAGTTATTTTAATCCCGTTAGTAGTGTTTTATTGATTTTTAAGTAGTAATTTTGGTGGCTTGTAGTAGTATTTTTTATATAAGTACACTAGATCTAATTTAATTTGTAGTGATTTACCAATAATTAAGTAGTAATGGATGCCAAATTTTACTAAAAATCACTACTAGAAATAATAAATTACTATTACAAATGAAAAACTACTACTACTTATAAACAAAACGCTACTAATATTAACTAAAATCAATAATTACAACAAGAATCACTACTTCAAAATAACTACTACATTCTAATATATCCAACTACCGACCTTCTTTGGATCGAACCCGTGTGCTTGAAGACACAAGTGAAGCTTGATATCTATTAGACCACATAGTTACCACATAGTTATTACATTACAAAATGTACAAAACAAATAATACTTATAAAATTTTTTCGAAATATCCTTAGCGTCCTATGGACCGGGGACCAGTCCTGGGAGTGCCGGAGTCCACCCTAAGTTCAACGTCGCTCCGCCCCTGAACTCCTGTGCATGCGAGTATATAAGTGCTTTGTGGATGGCATTGTAATTAACCATCTGATTGGACGATCTGGTTTAGTAATTAGTAGTGCCACTTATAGGTAACACTTTTAATTGTGTCACCTCTCGATAACACCACCTACAGGTAACACTATTAAAAATGTTGCATATATAACAAATACAACACTTTTGACACTTCTTACCGCACATTTCACGTGTTGGCGAAGATGTCTTTTTTCCCCCGTATTGTGTGCATGAGAGTATTGATGAAGTGCTTCGTGGATATGGCCTTGTAATCAACCATCGATTTGGGTGGGCTGGTTTTAGAAACAACGAAACATATAAAATAAAATAAAATAAACGGAAGGATTGGAAGTAAGATGAGACAATATTGTAAGGTGAACCATGAGCTCCCCGGTTCTCTCCACCTTCCGCTGTCGGCTGTTCTCTCCTGAGTTGGACCAGCCTGGCCGTCTCCGGTTTGGAATG